TGTGGGATTATGAAATTGGTAAAAAGATGGCAAGAAGTCATAGAAAAGAATGGTCAATACATTATTGATTAGTATATATTTTGTATATTAAATAAATTATATTTTATACCAGTCAAAAAAACCGAACGAACTTATTTGCCAACCCAATACAATCAGCGTATGATTTTGGGGTTTCCATACGTAATCTCCATTTACAAAACTACCGCGTTGATCAACTTCGCTGTCATCACTTGATGAAATATGACGGATACGTCTTCGAGAATATCCTATTTCTACACTTGAATCCGAATTGTCAAAATAATCAAAATCCATTGGAGTAACTAAATTTTATTTTAATTATAAAATTAGATTATTTTTTTAATTTGGATATAGATTGATACTACTTACTCTTAACGGCAGTTAGAAAGATCTACACAACAAATAACAAAAATAAAATTTGTTAAGAATGCAATGAAAATAGCTCAAATGCTCACAGATTGACAACAAAACGTGAACTGTGTCATTGTGGAATATTCCGCGAGCGGTGATAAAAGAAAGTCGCGGTTCACGGAATATTCTGCACTCGATGATAGGAAACGATCGTCATGTGCGGAATATTCCGCTTACAGATGCAAATGGGTTAATTGAAGACGTTCGAAACTTCGTCGATGATTTCATCGCTTCAAAGCCACCAAGTTTCTATTGCAATGGAATCCGAAAGTTGCTCAATAGATGGTGTAAAGTCATCGATGTTAACAGAGAATATTTCAATTATTAATTAATGTATTCATCTTATTAAAAAATAAAGTCAAAGTTTGCGAAAGAAGGGCACGAATTATTAATTAATTGATATACCTAATAAGAAATGTTGAAAGATTGACATTAAATTAACATAATAAAAATAATGTATTACTCCAGTACTTTCATAACTCCGACAATGTTACAACATTATTACATTGTTTATTTTTTATGTTGCAATTGTTATTGTAGGCATAACAAGATCTGAAAAAATTGATATCATTGAAACATTATTTCATTGTCAGCACGGTTTTTTATCGACTCTTAAAAATAATACGTAAAAAGCGTAAAAAGCAATATTTTTCATTCTGTAAGGGCTAAATTTCGATACAATCATTAATGTTACACTATATGCACAATGTACTATTTGTAACAGTTCTTTATGCAGTTAAGAACTTTCTTTTGTTTTTTCCAGTTGACTCAGGATATTGAAAAAAATTATAAAAAGCAATGTTAAACAATATTATTAATGTTGATGAAGTTGTATTTTGATAAAACAATGTTCCTTTACTATTTTTTTTTAATTTCATTTATGTTTATTTGACATAATCTTGGAATAAAAAAAAATTGTATAGAATATATAACGAAGTAAATTATGTAAGGAACAAAGATATCGGACCATCTATAGACCTTTGTAAAATAAGGCTTTAAATAAAGCTTTAATTCCAGTAATAAATAAAACTTTTTAATTTCAAGATTATATCTTTTGGGAATGTGTTAATAACAACTGATTATTTTCAACTGAAATTTTCAATTATTATTTCTTTTTACAATAAAAGAACATGTTTGTATGAAGTTCAACTTGATCAATATTAATTATATTGTTTAAGATTCTTTGAATAATTTTTTATCTTTATCTTCATTTGACTGTGTTGCGACGAAAGAAAGTTCTTAAAAGCTATTTTATTCAGGTTGGCATCCTTAATCATATTTAAATAAACGCATATAATTGATGAATCCTAAATTACTTATTCCAGTGTAACTGAAGGTGCCCAACTCTTATTAACTATGCCTAATATTTTATCATTACACTTTCTCCAGTATTTTCAGACATTAATCCTTGTTGTAAATGCTTCACCATATCTTGTAGACAAGTGATACGCTTCAGCAAGTCCCGCTTTTGGCAATGGAGTGTGTTAATTTTTTTCCTTTCTTTCCGTTCGTTTCGCTTTTCAAGTGCAATTACCCGTTTAACTCTCCTCGGAGTTACGACGTCAGGAACACAAATTTTAGAAATAAAGCGTGGTTCTGTAACTCTGCGTTTTTTTGGGATGCATACATAATCTTCTTCGAAACCTGAAATTAAAAGGAGCATATTATATATTATGTAGACATTAATTTTATCATTTCAGTTTTCTCGACTTGCAACAAAGAAAAACAAACATTGATGTTTGTATATAATTTCTCAAATTCCAAATTTTAATTTATGGTAATCAGGATTTTATTAACATTATAACTGTAACAAATACCTCCAGTATCATCATCAAGAGCTTCATTGTTGTTCCTATTTTCTTCTGATGATACATATAATATAAGCCATTTATTTTGAAAGTGGCTTAAGTCCATTTGTCAATTTTTTTTGTTGACTGTAGTAACGTGTACAACTTGAAGATAGCTGTCATAAACAATATTTTACGGTTAAGTATATTCAGAGTATACGATAATTTTTGACACATAAATTTTCGCAGTTATTTCAATAATTAAAAACATTACTTTGAAAGTGGCTTAAGTCCAATCCATTATTAATAATGTCCAAAAATACGTCGTAGAAATGTCATTAAAGAAAAATAATTTACTGTTTGTCACCCAAGATTATTATAATGTTATCAAAAAGTGCCGGAAAGGTTATAACTTTATTCTAAATGAAGTGAAACAAGAGGATTTCATATCAACGAGATTTTTGGAGGATGCAATTTTTTAAAGGGTTAAGAATTCTAACAGAGAAACAATAAATTGATTAAAAATATGTTGGATGCGTTTTTTAAGAAAAAAACCATGTAAAATTTTCTATAAGATATCAATGGATGAAAATGCAGAGTTTAAAATTCTGGATTTATTACCACGTCGGAGTAGACCAAGAAAATTCGAAAATATTGTATTGACACCACTTTATAAAAATATAAGACGAATTACAACAGCGAAATACAAGGACATGATGGACTTATTATGATATATACCACCGGAGCACCATGACTTCTTCAAATTCTTCCCGCATACACAAAATGTAGATGAGCAGTAAATTGTTATGTAATTTATATAGTTAGAAGATTTCTTGAATTGCATAAATTGTGTTTTTGAAGTGTTGTAAAGAAATATAAAACAAATTGAGTATTGTTTTTTCAATTCGAAGCATTTTAAATTATGTCGAATGGACTTGGGCTCTTTCAAATTTTATAACAAATCTAGTTGTTAATTTTGAAAGCGGTTTAACTCCATTTGTAGTAAGGACACACATATTATTCACTTAATAATTGCTATTATTTTAATAGGAATTGTAAATTTAACTCTCTTAGATATACTTAAGCAGTGTGACACATTGGTATCCTATATATATATTTTTAATTTTATTGAAACGCAAACTCTTAAATATCTCAATTTAAATATAAATGGACTTAGGTCACTTTCAAAGTAAACGGCTCATATATTCTCATTAATTTTGAACTCTGCGGTTTCCTTTAACAACGTAAATAGTTGATGATACTTCATTTTTACATTTACAATTGTAGTTCATTGTTCATATCATCACTGATTATTTTTCTCTCAGGTGATACATTTTTCAAATCTCCGATGAATAAGTTCTGACATTGGACATCTTCGCCGCTGATGTGCACCATTTCTTGGGCATTTATCACTGATATTCAAAGAACTACTTCTGGAAGTAGTCAGTATACTCCCCCAGTACTATTTTTTTTCTCATATTCTCATCCTTGAAGTGCCTTGAACAAATGTACACCTTTGAGACGTCATCATCTTCGAATAAGTTACAAGCATTCATCCATTTTAAACGAAATTGTCGTTCTCTTAAAAATATAAAAATAACAACCAAATTTTATTATTTGTACTTAGAAAAATGAAATTCCACTTGAACAAATTTAGACAACAGCAAGTCATTAACAAGTCACAGTAAATATTAATCGTTTCACATAACTAGTTCTTTATCTGTGTAAACTAATATTTTCAGTCGCATTAGCCCTTTTCTTACATAAACATTTCCGGGTGCTCATGGCTGTAGCATCTGATAAATGTAACTTGTTCCTGTTGTCATATCAGTAGTCTTTATCTCACATGTGCTAAAATATATTTTATTTTTATATTCACGGAGACGATCAATCCGACGCACGCGCATTATCTTCACAATACACTCAGAAAGAGAGGAAAATACATATTTCTGCACCGTAGTTCCGAAACAGGACTTTTCTCTCACCTTGGCAATATATTAGTATTACATATATGATCCTTGTAGCCGAGCGTCCAAATCGTCTCCGGACCGACCATGCCATTATTATATAAGGTCTAGTAAAAAGTAATCCATTATTTTTGTATCAAATAGGAGGCTTTATTTAACATAGTTACAATGATCCGATTTAGGTCAAATATGCACCGTTTTGTTCGATAAATTGTTGCCATTTCGAAGGTAATTTTATTATGCCTCTCTCATAGAAACCCTCGTCCCTATTGGCAAAAAACTTGGAAAGTCGATTTTCACAAGCTTCTCTTGAGGCGAATTTTTCACCAGCAAAAAAATTCGCCATAGACAGGAACAGGTGGTAATCACTTGGTGCCAGGTCCGGACTATAAGGTGGATGCAAAAGAACCTCCCAACCAAGCTCCCGGAGCTTCTGGCGAGTCACTATCGATGAGTGTGGCCTGGCGTTCTCCTGATGGAACACAATTCCTCTCCTATTGGCCAAAGCTGGCCGCTTCTGGGCGATTGCTTCTTTCAGACAGTCCAATTGTTGACAGTACAGGTCCGAATTAAGAGTTTGGCCGTAGGGGAGCAGCTCATAGTAGATAATTCCCTGCCAATCCCACCAAATACACAGCAAAATCTTCCTGACCGTCAACCCTGGCTTGGCCACCGTTTGCGCCGGCTCATCGCGATTCGACCACGATCGTTTTCGCTTGACGTTGTCGTAATTGACCCACTTTTCATCACCAGTAACCATCCGCTTCAGAAATGGATTGATTTTGTTGCGATTCAGCAGCGATTCGCAGATGGAAATTCGATCCATGAGGTTTTTTTGCGTTAACTCGTGTGGCACCCACACATCGAGCTTCTTTTTAAATCCAGCCTCATTTAAATGGTTCCAAACGGTTTTTTGTGCAATGTTTAGCTCCTTGGCAATCGAAACGGTGCTTACATGACGGTCGGACTCGACGATTTCTATTATTTTATCAACATTTTCAACAATTGGCCTCCCGGAGCGTGGTGCATCTTTGACATCAAAATTATCGGAACTGAATCGACGAAACCAAAATTGCGCGTGATTGGCTCTTACAGTATCAGGACCGTAAACACTATTCACATTTTTAGCCGCCTGGCTTGCGTTTCCGCCTTTATCGAAGAAAAATTGTAAAATATGGCGTATTTTCTCTTTGCTGATGTCCATCTTTGACGCGCTCAAACAATACTGAGTCAAGCAATCACAAAACAGTCTGAGAGGTTTTTTTAGTACGAAATCGTATCTTTCTAACGCCATCTGGCGTAATCCGATCGGACTTATACAACGCGAGATACAGATTAGTAAAGCCCTCTATTGGAAAAATAATGAATTACTTTTTACTAGACTTAATATATTGACGAGATCACCGAACAGAGTGCCCTTAGATATGGGTGATACAGTAAAAAATATCGATATTTCTTATCGATTAGTTTAATGCTATATCATATTTTTAATGTATTGATATTTTTATTTACGACACGTTATCGATAGGAAATATCGATATTTATTACTGTATCGCCTATTCTTAGCGCGCATCCCAGCTATCGCGCTGGGCCATGTTTCTAATGCGCTGAGATTGATTCTTGATCGACACGCACTACCGTACCGCACATCGCGACTCCTCGCACGTGCTACTGATTTATATGTTACAGATCGTGGTCTGTCTTAGCTAGACTGCTCGACCGTATTATCACGCACATTTCACTTTAATAGTTATTGTTTTTTTTATTGTCAAGATACATCATCACTTTTCAAACACATGTTTTGATTTATGATTATCTTTCAAATTCTCTTTTTCAGATCAATTTTTGTGAAACCATGAATAAGTCAGAAATTATCATGTTATTTTCGAATATGAGTTCTATCTTGGAACCAATGCAGCGCATACGGTTCGAAATATCAACATGTTTAGTGTGGATATGTCTAATGAACGCACAGTCGATAGTTTTGGTGTGAATATGGCTAACGAACGTACAGTACGTCGAGAAGTTCTGATTTGGCAGTTTTAAATGAAACAAGTGGACGACCTGAGACCAAAGTAGATAATAATGAGTTGAAAGCTAAGTATAAGTGGATACATCTCAAACTACACGTGAAATAGCAGCAAGGTTTGACGTTACTATTCCAACAATATAGAACCATTTGAAACAAATCGTAAAGAAATTGTATAGATGGATTCCGCATGAATTAAATGAATATCAGAAGAGAAATAAAATAAATCATTTCGAAGCTTGCCTTTTTTTGCTGTTACGGTTTAAAGGCGAACCATTTCTACATTGTATTGTTATATGTGATGAAAAATGGATTCTTTTCGATAATTGCAAGCGTTCGGCACAATAATTAAATAAAGATGAAATGTCGAAATATGGTCTGAAATCGAATATTCACCAAAAAGCTTGCGACGGAAATTTTGATTTCGCCCGAAATTCCGCGGCGGCACGATGATCTTCAAAGACCTGGTGGGTTTTCTTTATAGTTGAGCTCCAGAGACGGTAACGGTTGACCCTCTGATAATTGTCTTCGCGTCTAAGATAGTGCACACTTTGGAAATCGTCAACTGGATCGCGGGCTCCAGTAGTTTGGGATTATACAGAGTCTTCCATTAAGAGGTTTCATTTTAATTTAATAAAAAGAGGAATAAGTTTTTGAAAACATTGAGATATATTTATTCTAATCCAAAATACAGATAATGCGATTAAATGTGGAATACAATATCATCCAAATGGCCGCCTCAATTTTTCTTATAAATAGTAATTCTTTTAAGGAAATTTTCCATCAAGTTTTTGCACAATTGCGGTTTAATTTCGCCAATAACAGTTCGAATACTGTCGTTGAGTGTTTGAATTGTTTGCGGAACATTTGTGTAAGTCTTCTCCTTCATATAATCCCAAAGGAAAAAATCTATGGGTGTCAAATCGCACAATCTGGGCGGCCAATTGAAGTCTCCGTTACGCGAAATGGCACGTCCAAGGAACTTCTCACATAATAATGCGATCGTTTCACGGCTTTTGTGGCACGTAGCCTGCTGAAAATAAACATTGTCTAGGTCCAGTTCTTTAATTTCAGGCCAAAGAAAGTCTGTTAGTATTTCTCGGTAACGCAATCTATTGACTGTGATAGTGTCACAATCATCAAACACAACCATCTTCATTTTCTAAAAAATACGGCCCAATGACGCCGTAAACCCAAAAACCGTACCAAACTGTTACTCGTTGCGGATGGAGAGGTTGCTCGTCAATTGCTCTTGGGTTTTCAGTGCCCCAGATACAGCAATTTGCTTATTGACATATCCTTGAAGGTGGAGATGGGCCTCACCGCTCAAAATAATTTTCTTGAAAAAATTAGAGTCAATTGCTTGCATTTCCAATATCCAATCGACGAACATACGGCGTTACCCATGGCCCGTCGGCTTTAATTCTCATGTCAGTTGGATTTTGTAAGCATGTAGGCTAAAGTCGTTGTGCAAAATGCGATGCAGGCTGGTTTGTGTAATGCCTAATTACTGCGAACGTCTCGCAATAGACAACCAGGATTTTCCGCGACACTTTCAGCCATAGCAGCAGCGTTTTCGATTGATCTGACTGGTAGAGCACGGGTTGGGTTTTTATCATCGCTAACTTGGCCGAGACGTTCAAATTTATCGATTGCTGGGCGATTCACAATTGCTGGACGAGAAGGTGTTTCTCTGCGACCGAAACTGGTACGGATTGTGCGAATTGTCTCCGTGAAATTTTCACCGTGTTTGTAGTGAATTTTCACTATTTCTATCCATTGCTGAAGCAAATATTGATCCATTGTTATTAACTGCACAGTTTTTACTTAGAGTACAGTTTTTACAACTGTCAAATATGACAACTCCATCTATAACAGGTACAAAATGCCGCGAAACTTAAAATGAAACTTCTTAATGGAAGACCCTGCATTATAGTTGGCAAGTAGTCGTGAGTTTCAGAAAACCGTCCTTCGTACGTGCGGGAATTGAAATCTCGACTGCCAGGAATGAGGAGACACGTGATTGGTTAAAATAAAATATATTCAGAACATATAATACGCATTACAATCTAATTCTTTTTATCGTTGCTCGATTATATTTCGACCACTCGAGTCCAACTTTTTCCACTCGGTGGATATTCTATGCACGTACAAAAATCATGTCTAAGGCCGAATCTTTATTGCCGCTAACCCTCGATTTCACGCCCTCGTTCGCGGAATTCCGCTCGTTTATACTCACGTATTCTCACGTATTCTCGCGTATTCTCACGCGCTCGCTTTCCCTTATGCGGCTATTGGACTCGATTACTCCCGCTCAATTTTATTCGCGTTGTACAAAATTTTAATAACCGACCGCGATGGTGGCGATTAATTACAAAATGAGGCGATCTTACCAATACGCTTCCCGTCGGACCCTTTTGCACTGTTTCACTCAATGCAGCCACTCCTTCGCTTGTACCGATTTCCTTCGATGAACTTCTAATTATTCAAGGCTCTCTCTCTCTCTCTCTCTCTCTCTCTCTCTCTCTCTCTCTCTCTCTCTCTCTCTCGCGACCTCTAGCCGGCTCTGGGACGCCTATGTGACTCGTGTAGAACTGTCGTTCGAGTAACTCTCGCGGGGTTATTAGTCCGGGTGACTCCGAGAGCCCGGGAGATACTGTCAGGCTGTTCTTCATCTCTTCTTCCTCTTGTCCTCCGCAAGCGATTATCGCGCGACATCGCGTTATTGCTTCACAATATCGGAAACGAAGCTTCTTCTAATACTCACGAGTTGTCACCACGAGTTCCGTGAGTCGTTCTTATTCTTCCGTCCTATCCCTTTTCCTGGCTCGATGTCCTTCCCCTTCGGGGTCCGTCCGGAAGTAAAAGAACACAGTCTAAGGGACGTGAGGATTGCCTCTATGTCCTGTGTGCAGAAAGCGCACACAACGCTGTGCCACCATCTGGGACATTCGCTACATAGTCAGTTGGTTCGACTTCGCTCGCTTCTTCCTATCTTTTAGTTAACCGCGTTATCGCCTTTGGAAAAATTAAATCGCGAACATCCGCTCTCCGATTATCCTTGTGATTGGCGCTTAAAAGTTGCCAGGTCACAAGCTAATGGTGTCTGTTTGGTAGTCCAGCGCTGGTATTATCCACTACAGCTTCATGAAACCTGGTTAACTGATTGCAGTGGATATCTATTGCAACCAATTGGATAAAATGATGGGGGAGTTTGCGATTAAGCAGCCGAGATTGATCAATAGAGATAGATCAATCCTCTTGCAAGACAACGCTTGATCACATGTCGCACAAACAACGCTGCTCAAACTACAGGAGCTGGACTTGGAAATTTTCTATCACCCACCGTATTCAGCAGACTTTGCACCGATTGTCACTTCTTCCAGGCATTGGATCACTTCTTGCGAGGAAAAATATTCAATTCTCAACAAGCTGTAGAAAATGCGCCTTTCGCGATTTCATTGCCTCTCGCTCTTCAGGCTTCTTCGCTGCTGGCACAAACAAGCTGCCATTAGGATGGCAACTGTGGCAATAGTTTAGGCACATACTGCGATTAATTATATCGCTTCTTATTTGAGACGTAATAAATCAAATTTCTGATTTGAAATCGGGCATTTCATATTTAATGACCTAATAATATGTTATATTCACATACAGCTTAGAATAATCATTTTATTTGTTTTATCGCATATACGTCTACACTTTTTCCACCGAATCCGGCATCTGACAAGCATAATCCGCAGCGACTAATGCATGTTATTGATGCTAGAATGAGACTTTACAAAGCCGTTACAAACTTTACGAAGTTGTATTTCGTTGAACTTGCAATGGTACTGAGCGAGAGTGACAGATGTCCAAAACTAATATTTGATGACGATGTTTTTGGTTGACTTGGGTCGGACAGCGTTGTAAGTGAATTGTGAATTTACTTCTCTCTATTCACATAGATAAAATTTTAAATTTTTAATGTTTTACACGGATAAGATTTAGAATTTTTAATATTTTATATGGATAAAATTTCAGAATTTTTTATGTTTTATTATTAGAAAATTGACAATAAATTAATATTGTGGCATTATTTTGTGCACATACCGATATTTCTGTACAACATCGATATACAATGAGGTTTATAATAAGATTCAACAAGTTAGTCTTGGACACCGATTTACTGATCACAAATATCATTCGAATAATTACATCCGGTATTCCGGTGATGCAGATATTCACAAGTGTTTGATCACGTAACATCTCAGCACAGAAAGGTTGCAGGAACATTGCATGGATATTACATGAAAACATTGTAATATTTACACATATACGAACATTTGGGTAATGTTAGTGCAACGTTGCCACAAGATTGTAATAACGTTAAAATATCCGTCCTCAAAAACATCGTAATAAAATATTATAGCAACGTTTGCATTGCAATATTCAGAAAACATTGTCTATAAAGGAGAAGCAGCTTGACTGCCTACCTATCGATAATACTTCGTATGTTTTTTCGTATAACTGCGTAAATTCAATCTCGAGTGGTGGCCAGATAGTCACCCATTCATTTAGTATAATCGACATCGCTTGACCTCGATGATCGGACGGCGGGCAGAGTCCAACGATTATAACAATATCTTTGTCACTATACCTTATGTTGACAAAAGTTTTTCTATGCTATACAGGGTCCCAGAATAATCGATGCGGAATTCATCAGAAGATTCTTGGTACTAAACAAAACCATTTTTGGCACATCAAAATTTTGCTTTTTAATTCTTTTCAAAAAGAACTATTCAAAGTTGTCGAATTATCGTATTAGGTTGCGCTTGAGTTAAAAGCGGAACAACGAGATATCATGTAAATTGTTTTTCTTCTATTTCATTAAAGCTTTTATCACACAACTATGTATTAGGTTGGCAAGGATGAAATTTGTAGTTAATAATATTGCCAACTGTAACAGCTTATTATTTGATATTGGCTTAATATATTACCGTTATGTTTTTTTGTTGGAAAGTTACATATCTCGCCTATTTAAAGAAATCATTGTAAGCTCTAAAATATATTGGAACTTTTTTTTTTAATTAATTTTGTTGAAAATAGAATGGTCGGAAATTCGCACTATTATGAAGTATGAGTTCTTACGTGGAATTACGGCATCGCAGACCACATGAAACATTAATAGTGTATTTGGCTCTAGTGTTACTACGCAGCAGACAGTATCAAATTGGTTTGCCAAATTTCGTACAGGTAACTTTGACCTCACAAATGAGCCACGCAGTCGCCCAGAATCAAAGGTCAATAATGACGAACTAAAGGTGACCGTTGAGTCTGACCCATCTCAGAGTGCCTATGAATTATCGTTGAAGTTTGGTATTAGCAAACAAACAATATTAACTCATTTAGCTCAAATCGATAAAGTAGATAAGTGAGTTCCACATGAACTGAATGAAAAACATAAACAAAAGCATTTGGCAGCTTGCTTGATGTTGCTTTCTCGTCATCTGATCCATTTTTGAATCGAATTGTCACTTGTGATGAGAAATAGATCCAATATGACAATCGCAAATGTTCAGCACAGTGGTTGGACAAGGATGAATCACCAAAACACATTCCAAATCGCAATATTCATGAAAAGAAGCTGATGGTGAGTGTTTGGTGGTCTAGCGTAGGTCAATTATGATCCATTATGATTTCATGAAACCTGGCTCATCGATCACAGCAGAAATATACTGTAACCAACTGGACGAAATGATGCAAAAACTTAAAGAAAAACAGCCTAGATTGGTCAACAGATCTACTCCTATCTTATTGCATAATAACGCTAGACCACACAATGCACAAATGACTGGCAAAACTACAGGAATTGGAGTTGGAACTTCTTCATCATCCTCCATACTCACCAGACTTAGCCCTCACTGACTACCACTTCTTCCGCAATTTGGACAACTTTTTAATAGGAAAACAATTTAATTCTGACAATGCTGTAAAACTGGTCTTCCAGGAATTCATTGACTCTCGTCCGCCAGGGTTTTATACCACCGGCCTGAACAACCTGCCGCTTAAATGGCAAAAGTGTATAGACAATATGGGTGCATACTTTGATAAAAAAAATAATTTTTTACATTTGTAAGTTATCAACCAACTTTGCCTTTTTTTCTACAAATTTCATCCTTGACGACCTAATATATTTGAATTTATCGCTATTTTGAATAAATATAAGTATAAATATTTACATAATTAACTTGTATGAATTATGTGCCACTGGTTTTGTCCAAGGACACAAACATTTCTTAATTGTTGGAACAATATTTATGTAAAAAAGTTTACCAAGTGTATGCATAAGTTTTTTCCGATTTAACTAAGAGATGGTGCCAGCGAAAAGTACGCTGCGTATTAATTTGACACATATGTCATTTTGTTCGTCTGACATTTAAAACTACAAACACATACAAGTTGAGTCCGCCAGAAACTAGCGTCTTTGTTTTGTCGTTCAGTGATCATGTCGAGTTTTGTGCCTGAAAAAGAACATTTGCGG